TCTTGAAAATGGAAATAAAATGTGTTTTACTTTAAAATTTAGTATGATAGAATGCAATAAAGCTACCTAGTTATGTTTTTAGTATTAAATAATGGACTATTCCAATTTCATCAATATGACTTCAATAGATACTATTAAGATATGATCATATATGAATAGATCCTATAGAAAAATGTGTAAGTTTAAACAAAGAGAGAAGTCAATAGACTACTAACTTACAGTAAAATGGCAATCTAAAATAAAGTAAGAAAAAGATAATGACACCTATTTATGCACAATTTGATAATGAGCTTGATAACAGAATTGACAAGTCTCAATCAAAGATTTCTTTTTTTTCCCTTCTGCCAACAGGACCACTAAAAAGATAAGAAAATGACGATGTTGTGTCAGTAAGTGATCCTTCCTTTGGATATTTTTTACAGGTATCTATCGAAATGAACTATCGATTGGATTTGCTGAAAAAGTGGCTGTTATTATATTTCAAAAATTGTAGTTATCGTTGGTTGTCTTTTCGCCTACTGTTTTTTTCCTATTGCACTAATGGATGAGATAAGTTTCCTGTTGGACTTGTAGCCTGAAGTTTACGTCCAGGAGAACGTGTCATGACAGACATTGATCAATCTACAAAATATCTCAAGAGAAGAGCCAGTTTAACACTGCATTGGCTCGTTTGTTTATGAATGGAGAACGACGCACTGCTTCTCCATCAAATATGTGAGAGCACATAAAAAGAAAAACAGATGGGAATTGACGAAGTTCAAGAAGTTCATTGGAGAAAGTGATGTGGAATGTCGTCAATTGGCGAACATTTGACTAGTATAATTAGAAAAGATTCGAACTATTTCTATATTCTATAAAAGCAACAAGTTGTCCGATTTTGTGTGTGAGAAAAATAAAATCTCTTCTACTGATGGATTCAAGTCGACAATTGCACAAGAGTATTTGTGAGAACACATAAAAAAACCGATTGTCTCATAGTTTATTGTTGTAGAGACAATGAATATAATATTATCTAGATATGATTGTCAGAAATTATCTACTATATTTTGAGATAGATACGAATATATATCAAACTAAATCAGAAAATAATTGATTAACCATCTGACAACGATTTGACTTTTAGCGCCTATTAAGCTAATATCTCCGTGAAACTAATTTTGCCGAATATAATAAATTTTTTTACAGAAAAGAGAATAACACAGATGTGTTGATAATAAGGTGAGTATAGTGTTTTCAAAAAAAAAAAAATAGAAAAATATTCAATCTGTCTTGAATAGATATGAGATTGAATTAAAACATACGATTACTAACAGTTACTCAAAGATTATTTCTCAATATATTAAACAATAGTTGTTCTCATTAATGAATGGTTAGCAATATTGAAAAGACAATTTTGTTTAAACATAAGATTTTACTCGAAATGATCAATGTTTTATTTGAAAAAAATGAAATAAGTGACGTCTAACAGTCATATAAAAAATCTTATCTTGAATAATTCTCTCTATTGTTTTAAAATAGTTATTGAAATGGTGAAACTCTATAAGTATCGATGGAAAACAAATCTTATATGAAAGGAAGAGTATTTTCTTTCTTGAAAATATTCAAAACTGTTGTGAGAAAAATAAAATTTGTTCTATAAATATAGTGAAAATAAAATGATTAGATTTTAACTGTGTCGTACTAGAATAAAAGTATAATATAAAATCAGCATAGAACGACGACAAATGATAAAACAAGGAAACTTTACTCGTGTAAATTTGTTAAATGAATTTTGTTGCAATGTATAAAACATTTTTTCTTTCATGAGGATATTCTTGTCAGAGTCTATAGAATAGAAAAGATTTTTTTTATTTCAGAAGTGTTGAAGAGAAATAAAACATCGTTTATTTCTATGGTGTTAAATGATTTTCCATCGAAAATTATGTAATTCATCATCAATGACTTGTTATTGCCAATTATCGAGTCTTTTTTCACACGTTATTTATGATGTGAAGGGATATGTTGCTGTTCAACAAGCAATTATAAACTCTGATGTATGTTGGTGTCAATGAAGATATTCTTTTTTTTCAATATATGAACAATAGCTAAAACAGATTTATTGTATAGTCGTTGAATCCGCTAAACTTATTCGATTGATAAGTAAAAAATAGTCGACGTATAAGGATTGCACAAGAATCCAAGCGTTGTTATCGAGTTATGGGACCACTGATATCTTATAGAATATGAATTAGAGATCACAACGAATAAGAAAATTTCTATTCGGATTCGATTTAATTCGAGTTAGACTATGATTAAATAAAGATACTTCGATTTCTGCATATTAGGGTGTGGATGTGGGGTGTGAGCGTTGGTGCGGGTATGAATCTTCTCTTTAACAGAACCTACACCCACATCCGCAAGAACGAAACTGGTCGTAAGAAGCTTTGGAACTTTTCTTCTAATAAACTCCTTCCCTCAGGAAAGGTGGTCTCCCACGGAAAGGATTAATCAGAGCTTTTTCACCAGTAATTGCTCTAATTTGAGAAAGTACGAAGCAGAACGTGGGTAAAGAAGTGCACGGAGAGGACAGAATTTAAGAATTCAACGTTATAAAAATATTTATTATGATAAAAAAAATCTAATGAATCGCTAAAAGTTTAAATTAGTACGGATATAAATGCAAACAGAAGAAAAAAAGCAATGAAAAATATTGGTATTTATTGGTGTATGTATTTGCAAACGATGTGAAAGCACTGTTTGTGACTGCATAAGGATCCCATAAGCGTGAGCAAGCAGAATTATAATAGTGATTTCTCATTTGTGGATTAGTATCGAGAACAAGATCATTATCGGTCGAAATACGATAAACATCCCAGTTTGCTAGATTTCCATTGTAGTTAGGATTTGATTTATAGATGAAATTGGCCCAATATAGCATCATGTTCACGGAAAGCTGTTGGTCCAATGCAGTGAAAGTGTAATTGGGAAAGAAGTAGGAAAGAACCGATGGAAAGAACATGGGAAGTTCGGTACCGTGAGCCACACCAGAGCAAGATGGTGCAGCAGATACGAGATGATTATATGTATATAAATAAGATGGTAATCCATAACTAGAGAATCTAGAAGCAATACGTCTCGATCCACAATTTACCCAAGCATTACTGTATACTGTATTTAAATAAGCCAATGGATTATTATAGTTTGAAATAGGTCCATAAATATCAGAGATTTGACTGATTATAGTGGCATTATATATCGAGTCGAAAAATGCCTGAACTTGTTCGATAGTGGCTGAGCCATTGTAAAGTGGACATGTAATCATAGACGTCTCGTTTGCAGTACTTCCAACTAATACGGGAACCTTTTGAAAATCTCCTCTAGCATAGTTATTTTCCATTATATCGTTTAAAACATAACCATCAATAACTGGAGAGACAGCTATTCCAAGCGGACTATCAGACGCGATAATTGTCTCGGCTGTAAGGATTTGATCCACTGTTAAATTGCGCAAACATTGGATTGTAGTACAATTCGTAATGTCTCGCAAAGCGTTACCAGTATCGTTGATGGCCTTCTGCAAGGCATCCGCGAAATTGGGCCACATACTACCACTCTGTACGATGGCTCTTTGAAAGGTACCATTAGCAACCAGTGGTGATGTGAGCAGGATTGTGATAGTTATACCACCAGCACTCTCACCACCGACAGTAATTTGCTCAGGATTACCACCAAAACCAGCAATATTTTTCTTTATCCAGTCTAATGCCATTATTTGATCTAATATGCCGTAGTTACCAGTAGTGCTTCTATTATTGATACCTGTTCTTTCGCCATACAATGCTTCATCTGCTAGAAAACCGAGTAGACCAAGTCGATAGTTGATCGTAACGACGACTACAGGAACAGAATTGATAATGCTTGTGCTAACGAACGGAGTAGCATCGTACTGTGCGCCAAAACCGATATAAAAACCGCCTCCATGAATCCAAACATACACCGGCAAATTATTTGCATTTTTCGGAGCGTGTACGTTTAAGGTGAGGCAAGCTTCAGTGCGTAGAACGCCAAAGCTATATATCTGAGGACAAGAATTGGGAATGTT